ATGAGCACGAGACCGAGGAGGCTGGCTCCATCGATGCCATCGATTACCAGGACTCTGACTATGAGGTCTTGATGGCGGCAGCGGAAGACATTGGCCTTGAGCCAGAGCATGAGATCTTCGAGGAATCCGAGGCCAAAGAAATCCTGGCTACAATGGTTCGTGACGCTTCGAAGGGTGGTAACAAGGGCTATGGCAAGGGCTTTGGCAAGCGGACCTTCGCCAACGTGACCCGCATGAAAAAAGACACAGGAATTGTCCCGAGAATACGGGAGTGGAAGAACCGGTATTGCGCCGGGAACATACAAAGTCAGCATTGAAGAACTCAAGAGCCGTACCAGATGCGGCCATTGCAAGGCCATCGGTCACTGGCACCGTGAGTGCCCTCTGAAGAAGTCGGGCAGCTCCAGCAAAGAGGTACAGCTCCTCGAGACCGATGAAGCCATGTTCGTGCACTTCCTGGAGTTCCAGGATTACAAGGCCAACCACGGTCATGAAGCGGTAGCTGAAGTGCACCACTTGCAGTCCTCCGAGGACTGGAATCCATTAGATGTAGCTGTTCAGCAGTGGCGGTCTGAGCGACAAGTTCCGACCGAACCCCAGGTTTTTTGACAACTCCGCGGCGTCCCAGTCCGCGTACAAGGAGCGACACCAGGTGTTTTTGACGGAGACCATGAAACATTTACAAAGATTTGATGTTGATGAACGATCATGTGCAACTGTCGACACAGGGTGCCAACGTTCAGCCATCGGACTGGAAACACTTCGTCGTCTTTCTGAAGCCTTGCCTAAGGATCTATAGACATCATGCTGGTCCCGGAGACACATCGTTTTTGTAGTGTGCATGGGGTGTCATCAACCACAAAAGTGGCATGTATTCCAAATAGTCTGGGCCCAGAGGGATGTATTCTTCGTCCTGCTTTTTGAAGATCCTCACGGCAGTCATGCACCCTTTCTCTTGTCTTTGCCGTTCTTGCTGGAGTGTCGTGCAGAACTAGATCCTACTTCTGGACTTCAATTGTATTTGAGGAAATATGACAAAACAATTCCCTTACACTTGGGTCCAACTGGAGCTCTTCGTGTTCATTTGCATGATTTTTTCTGAAAGGATGAAACACAATTTGAAGCTCGGTGCACAACGACTTCGAGAACAGTGTACCGAGCATGAGATCTTCAGCACCTGGGCTCGAACAAGCTCTCGCGATTCGACTGTGGAAAAGCCCCAAGCCGATGCAGGCATCTCACAAGCGCTCCCGTGCAATGGACTCCGAGGAAACCTCCACGGTGACGATGCAGCACTGGCGGCGCCTGATGCTCCGTGTGCTGATGTTGGTCAACCAAGCCATGCAGCACCTGGTCTCAGGCCGGCTCAATATGACCGGCTTCAAGGGCTATCGTCTGCAGCAGATGGCTTGCGACCTTCCACTCCTCGAGACATCCGAACTCGAGGATCTGATGCAGCTATGTCAGGAACAAATTCAAAGTCGGCAGATGGACGAGCTCGACGGCTTCTCCATCATCTCCGGGCAGACCCTGCGGAGCAATGCCAGCTCAGAGACACCGACTCACAGCCCCGGGAAGTCCAAGCCTCCAACACGGATGCCAGCCTCACCTCCAAAGCCGTGCTCAGCTCAGACGGAGATCTTCGAGAATCCTCCATACTGTCAATGTCGACTGGCGACAGTACGACTGATCACCTACAAGAGCGGTCGCAACTATCTACGCCATTTCTGGCGATGCCCCAAGTGGCAGAACCCCATGACGAGGTGCACCTTCTTCCAATGGACTCAGAACCAACCACAGTGGAAAAATCCGGATCGCCCCAGCGACGAGGCCGAGATGATCGGGTACCACCAATGCCCACATCACCGGACTACTCAATCCGGCTCAAACGGCTGGACTGCGGCAAACTCCTGGAGAAGGTCTCCAAGACGGGTCCCAAGGCGACATCGTCCAAGGAGCCAATTCCTTCGGAGAGCGAGCAGGAACTGTGGGAGCAGTTCCAGGCTTTCCAAAGGCTCCGTCGCGGCAGCCAGGGCTCCAAGTGAATGATGAGCCAAGTGAGAGAAGGGAATCTGCTAGTCCTCCAAACGTTGAGACTACTATAAGTCCGACTCATGGTCATCGGATTGATGCTAGCTTGAGTGCTGCAACCACTGTTTGGCAATATATGCTGGAATACCTGGTTGATGACCCTACGAAACATGTGGAAACAGAATCTCTTTTACATCAGGTAGCTCGTGACATTGGACAGCCAAGCAAGAAGCAGCTAAAGACCTTCTCACAGCTTTTTCACATTGAACCATCCAATTTGCGACTGGTGACCGAAGTCTTCAACCCAAACCGTTTTGGACCTCGGACAAAAAGACATGGTTTGAATCAAGGGCAAGTTTTTGACATTTCACTTGGAGATAACCTCCTAGACCCACGAGCTCAGCATTCTGTTTTGTCTCACATTCGACACGAACGACCCGGATTGACCGTGATCTCGCCACCATGTGGACCGTTCAGTGCTTTGCAGAATCTTTCAAAGTCACTTCGTGATAGAGACTGGAATGCTGCGCGTCGATACATGAGCAAGCTGAAAGAAGCCAGAAAACTTCTCCGTTTTGCTGCGTTAGTTTGTTGGGAATGTCATCGTCTTGGTCTCACGTTTTTGTTTGAGCAACCCCGAACTGCTCGCTCTTGGCTTGAACAGCCTATCCGACAACTATTACGTGATCCCGATATTGAACTTGTCCATGGCGACCAATGTATGATGGGCTTGCGCTTCATCACGTCCGGCCATGCCGTGAAGAAACCAACGAGCTTCCTGGGGAACAACCCGACCGTCCTCAAGGCTCTAGAAGTGAAATGTGATGGATCGCACATCCATGAAGAAGTACTTGGTAGTGATTCTCGAGGACCTCGATCTCGACAAGCTCAAGAATACCCACAGGGCCTGGTCGACCGAGTGCTTCGAGCCTATGCGGCTTCCTGCCACTTGGCTACGCACGACATTCACTTCCAAGTTGCTGCTGATGTCATCCAAGAGGATGATCGCATAAGCCAAAACTACTTCACTGAGGAGGAGCGGTACCAGATCCTTGCCGCTGATGAACCACCGGCTATGAGAGATCTACCTGACCTACCAGTAGCTCCTTCTCTTGGAGTAAGGGCCAACGAATTCACCCAACTGTGTCAGGACCACCTTCCAGCAGGACAGTGGCAGTTCTGGACTAGGACCGATCTACAGTCCTCCAAGCTCCAGCTACCAGGTGGTGACGGTCCAGCGACCCCGGTGATCGAACGGCGATTCACTTTCGACCTTGCAACCAAACAGCTGATCAAGATGGACGTGATGACTGAACTGGACCCTGAGAGCCTGGAATTGGAACTTGAGGACACTAAGGACATTGTCACTGTTTTTGCTTGGCAGAAGTCTCGAGAGCTTCCTGGAGCTCGCGTCGTGACTTTGGAGCGCCTTGTCCGAAGGGCCCACGAAGGACTAGGACATCCGGAGACGAATCGTTTCGTTCGCATTCTGAAAGCAAGTGGAGCAAAACCAGAGGTTTTGGAATGTGCCAAGAGATTGAAGTGTTCTGTTTGCCACCAGTTTCAAACTCCAGCAACCAAACGGAACAGCGCGCCTCCTCGGGAAAACCTTCACTTTAATCAACTGATTGGAGTTGACACCATTCATCTTCGCGATCATCATCATAGAACAGTTCCAGCGCTGAACATGATCGACTATGCCTCGCACTTTCAACTTGTGGTCCCCATGGGATCCAGCACTGCGAAAGCCGCTCGCACAGCATACCGTCAGTGGGTCAAGCTGTTTGGTGTACCAACTCGTGTATATGGTGACCTAGGTGGAGAATTCAAATCAGTGTTTGTGCAAATGTTGGAAGAAGATGGATCAGAATTTGTTCCATCATCTCTAGAAAGTCCGCAACAACGTGGCTTGGTAGAACGGGCTGGACAAACTTACAAGAACATTTTGTACAAAACGATGAACACCGTTTCCTGCGAAACGGATGAAGCTTGGAAAGACGCCGTGGACACCACTTGTATGGTACGCAATAGACTCTTGCTTCGTGGGGGCTACTCTCCCATTCAGCGTGTTTTGGGGTATACACCACGGTTACCCGGAGAACTCATGGCTGGACGGGAACCAAACCTTCAGAATCTGGAGTTACAGAAGCCCAGTGATTTGGCCGTCGTCAGAAGCATGGAGCTACGAAAGGCTGCATCTAAAGCATTCTTCGACTCGGACTGCCAGCAGTCGCTCCAGAGAGCAATCTATGCAGGGCCTCGACCGTGGCGACACTACGAGCCCGGACAGGTGGTGTACTTTTTCCGTAGAGGAGCTGACACCCAGAAGAAACCACTAGAATTCTACTGGAGAGACCCAGCTCGAGTTCTTTTGGTTGATATGCCTAACATAATTTGGCTGTCGTTCCGGAACAACATTGTTAAAGCATCACCAGAGCGCATTCGGCCAGCTAGTGAAGAAGAGAATCAGACATTGTCTCAATGGGTCGAGGGTCTGACCACTCTACGAGAACAACTTCGACAGCCACAGAACAAGGGGATCATAGACTTACCACAGCTGAACTCGGTGAAGATCCGGAGATAGAAATTCCACCTGCAATAGAACCACCGGAAGAGGAACCTCGTCCTCCACCAGAATTTCCTTTCCCTCCAGGACTTTTTCCGGAACCAGCTAGGAGAGTGAAACAAAAGACTTCTGACTATGTCCCTCGTGAACCCGTTCAACCAGTTCCTGAACCTGACCTTCTCCCGGACCTAGAGCCAACTCCGAACCCCTTTGAGATCGGGTCGGAACCGGTTCCAGCAGTGCCAATTGCGGAGCCGATGGAGATTTCGGATGAACATGAAGACGTGAGACATGACAAACGATCGGCGGATGATTTTGTTACTGATGACCTGGAGAATTCACAACCTCCGGACAAGCGACAACGAACGGAATTTTTGGAACTGTTTCATCTTGCTGTTTCTGGCCTTATGAAGAAAAGAATTTGTTGCCAAGGATTTCAAGGGTGCTGATTTTCCCCGTCTACAGAAGTCCATCTCGAAGGAAATCAACCAGAACTTAGCATCAGGAGCATACCGACTCCTGGACGTGGAAACTTCACAAAACATTGCAGCAGAAAAACCCGAGAAGATTATGGGCAGCCGCTATGTTTTATCCAAGAAGCCTCTTGAAGAGGGTGACATTCCGCAAGCCCGAGTGGAAGATATCCTTTTAGATGACAAAGAACATGGTCCAGTCAAAGCAAAGTGCAGACACGTCATGCAAGGTTTCTCAGAACCCTCGGCACTGGACGTGGAGACCACCACACCACAGGTGACAAGAGACTCAGTGATTCTGATCGCCCAAATTTTGAGCAGTTTGAGTTGGAATCCCGGATTCATCGATTTTACCCAGGCATTTCGCTCCGGAGACAGGATCAATCGTGAGTTGTACGCCCGGCAGCCTAAAGAAGGCATACCAGGTGCAGATCCCCGGCAGTTGATCCAACTCTTGAAGCATTGCTATGGGCTCACTGATGGGCCTCACAAGTGGTTTGAACATCTGTGTCGATATTTGAAGAAATTGGGATACCAACAATCAAAACTGGACCCATGTGTGTTTTATCTGTTTGAAGCTGACACTTCAACATCGACCGCCGGTTCAAAACCATATTCGGGAAAGCTTTGTGGTATTTTGGGCATTGCTACAGATGATGTTTTTCATGGGGGGAACAGACAAACACTGGGACAACATCAACAAGATTGCAACTGCATACAAGTTGGGAAAGAACCAGACCACTTCGGGCCGCTTCACGGGAAAGGAGATTCAAGCTAGACCCGACGGAACCATTTCCATCACCCAAACACATTATGTGGATGACAAGGTGAAGTGCATCCCCATCGACCGGAACGGAAAATGCAGCGCTTTGACCGTTGCACGGCCCAGGAGATTGCTCAACTTCGTGAGCTCCTGGGTGTCTTGGCCTGGTTGAGTAAGGAGACCCGAGGTGACCTAGCTGGAAGAGTCTCACTGTTGCAACAATCGTTTCCAACACCAAGAGTGAAAGATCTTGAACAAGCAAACAAGCTAGCGCAAGAGGCAATCGCTTACAAACAGTTGGGAATTTTGGTTCAACCTATTCCGCTTCACTCTTTGAGAATTGGAGTGGTGACAGACGCCTCCTGGGGCAATGCCAGGGAGTCCAGTTTGGGGCTCGAGGATTCGCTCAGGGAAGATTTTTGGGAAGAGTGTGAA